TTCATTATTAATTGTTTTCATCATTAATTCTTAAGCATTTTGAATTTTCCAAGTTTGTTTCACATATAGTTTGTGTTTCCAGTTCCTACAATACTAGATAGTCCTCTATCCAAACATTAGACTCAAGAAAGTAATGCTTGCACAATAACTAAACAGATAAGGGGATAGATTTGGAGACGTGGATTAAATTTTCTCCTGCACAAAATTTTGCTTAATCTGGTTTCTATGGAGGGACTTCAGAAGAACATGGAAACTACAGAAAATTCATGTCTTCTTTAAAAATGGCTCCATAGGTTTAATAAAAGGGGGTCTGTGACCCAAAACCCACACAGAACCACTGAGATGGAGTAAATGTAATGTCTTTTGCATATCCTACATTTACATGGTTTTATTATCCTACATTTACATGGTACCATAATACACAGAACAAAATGAAAAAAACATTTTCCATAAAAATATTTGAATTAAAAATATAGTCATATATGACATACATATTATGTGTGTTATTTCAGGGCAGCTGTTGCGGCACAGCAAGTTAAATCACCCTTTGGGATTCCTACATATCATACCCGTGTGCCTGAGACTGAGTCCTGCCTCTGCCTCAAATGCAGGTGCCTGGCTGAAGATGATGGCCCCTGGGTTCCTGCCACCCACTTGGAGGACCTGAACGAAGTTCTTGGCTCCTGGCTTAGGCATGAGCCAGCCTGGCTGCCGCAGTAGATGGGAGGTCTTTCCCTCTGTGTGTCTCTGCCTCTCTGTTACTCTGCCTTTGAAATAAATAAGTCTTTTTTAAAAGTGAATGTGAAATCTAATGTTAGTAATGAAGAACAAGGAGCACATAAATAACTGTTCTCGTCCACAAGTGGGCCCTTTATATAAGTTCTGTGGGTTGTGTGGTATTAAATATCTGGAACATCATCATCTTGCTGTTATTTGAACAAAAGTTTAACTTTTAATAGCTACATAGATAATACAATGTAATCCTAGATCTAGAATTAAAATCATAGAATTTTACCATGGAAGTTATACTACTGGAGCCTGAACTTTTTTCTGACTTCTAGCAATTACTTTAAGCTTAGAAGATATAAAATAATTGCCTAAATGGCTAGTTTCTAAAAGAATTATAATAGCTAAAATTTTTGAACACATGATTTTATGAGTCATCTCATTTATTTTTACAATAATCTCTCAGAAATTTACCATTATAGGTTCTATATTACATAGGAAGGAACTAGGGCCCTGAGGAATTAGGTAACTTATCCTAGATAATGCAGCTTTCAAGTGGAAAGTAGATCGAGGTAGACTCTCTAGAACATGTCAACTAAAATACCACACTACAGTGACTCCCAGTAGTAACAGAATTGGACTTCATCTGTTTTATTAAAGAACTTTCCTACAATTGTATAAGAGTCACCTGGCCTTCAGTGAAATACTTCCAGGGAAGGAAGTAACCTTCCTCAACAGCCCATGCTGGTAACACATTCTTCTTTCAATAAAATGATTATTGAATGCTTATGGCAGGGTAACAATCAAACACTGCCTCAAGTGTCACTCTGGACAAGTTCTTCCCTGGTCACCAGTTCTAGGAACTCTGAATGGGATTAATGTGAACAGATTGAGGTAGAATATAGTTGGTTACAAGGAGATAACGCATATTTAATACACACACACATAAACATACATTCATATATGTGATTAATTCTATACATATAAATTATATGATCAATTCTATACATATAAATTATATAGGTAGTTCATATGTATTATGACTAAAGGACATTTTGAAAAATCATTACTGGATGTAAATATTTCAAATTGATAGGTGTCTTAGTCTGGAATTGCCAACAACTACAGCATGATGCAAGGACTTACTGAAAATACTTTATTGGGGAGTGTGCTCCCAGGGAGGGATGGAACAGGGAAGTCTGGACAACCAGTACAAGGATGTGTTAGCAATCTGGCACTACTTTGGGAGAATGGCTGCTTCATTCATTATGCCAATCCAAGGCACCAGCATTTGGTGCAGCACCAGGATGCCCCTATCCTGCACTGGAGCTCCTGACTTCCTGGATCAATTCCTGATTGCTGCTTCCTGATAATGATCCTGTTGGGATGCAGTGGAGATAACTCAGGTGGTGGATCCCTTCTACCCATGTGGGAAACCTCAACTGATTTCCCAGTTTCCAGCTTTGGTCTGGCCCAGCCCTGACTGTAGTGGGCATTTAGGGGGTAAACCAGTGGATAGGAGATTCATTCTGTATCGCTGTCTCCTCCTGTTCCCCCCCCCCTTTTTTTTTTTGCTCTCTCTCTCTCTGCCTTTCAAACTGATGAGAGAGAGAATCTGAGAAGCTAAGCTGGACGCACATTTTTACGATCCTCTGATTACAGAGAGAGGAGAGCAATTTATCCAAGCACTTTGTTTTCCATTGGTTGAGGACTTACCATGGAGTTTTACTCTCTCACACTTGTTCTAGTTCACACCAAAGCATCAACCAAGAAGCCTCTGGATGGGAGGCAAGATGCAAGAGAGGCCTGGAGCAAGGCACTGTTGATTACACTCATACAAAGCTTGTTGGAGCCCACTTAGAACTGGTGGTCTCTGCTATGGCTAAAAGGGACACGTAAGGAGCAGAGGGTGTGAAGGGGCACATGGGAGGTGTGATAAGGCAAGTGAATGATTTTATTATTGTGTGCAGTTGTTCATGTTTTGTCTTTTCTTGGGTGGACTTTTATGTCTTGTATATCATATTAATTGGGTCTAGCAGAAGATCCTCAAGCTTCCATTCATTCTATGAACGTTTATTGAATAATTACTTGTGTCCAGCATTAGAGGTTAGGAATGTAAACAAGAGAAACAGATTCTCTGCTGTCATAAAGCTATCAACTCTACCATCCATAGTACTGCTGCATAGTAGGCAGTTTTTAAATAAATAAAATGGACTTCTAATACGATCATGGTTATTAGCACAATGCCTATCTGTTACGACCAAAGGGATATCTCACTAGATAAACCACTCTGCTTTTCTTTGCAGGAAGTCTCTTACCCATGTGGCTGTAAATGCTCATGTCTGCCCTGGGAGTAGAGTCTGTTTGCTTTATTATCTATGCACTGCCGAGGGATGGGAGGCTGAAATCTGGACAGATTTTTGTACTTATCTGTAAGGCACCTCTGAGGCATAGGAGAACATTTAGGGGAACTGAAATCCAGGAGCATCAGCAGCGGCCACTCCTTCCCCTACTCACCTGGCAGCCTTCCCAGGCAGAAGGTGGAAGACGCTGTCTCACTGCCAACACTGCTTCCTTGAGCATCCCAGTGGCCAAACAACCACCAGCTGACTCTACCCCAAGTGCCTGGTTTCAGCAGCCAACTTGTTTCAGCACTCTCACAGAAGCACTCGGGTGGGAAATACATTGATTCATTAAAATCTGACGGAAAGTTAGCTGCATTGTGTCCGTCACATGGAACATGCCATACCGAGGACATGTTTATGTGGCAATAAACTTCTAATGCTTTAGAAAGCTGCTAACTGAACAAAAATGAAATCAGAATAAAATTATCCAAAGGACAACAGTTTGGAGAGCAGGTGTCAGTTTTTTTCTGGCCCTGTTAGTGGTTCCCTTCACTTCAGATCCATCTTCTGGCCTTCGTGACAATGAAGCCCTTGGTAACATCATGCTTATTACCCCCAAATTAGCTGATGTATGGGGAGCTGTCACTGCTCCTTAGTATTCCCATTAAACTCTCAGGGTGGAGTGACCAGAGCATGCTCGGTGCTTTATGGGGCAGTCAACGCACCGAGGCTGCTGGAGGCTTTCAAGGGAAACTTTCCACTGGCAGGGAGGGATGGGGGCCTTTGTGAAGCTGCATCCAGAGCAGAAGTCCTAGGTTGGGAGCCTGGAAGCCAGAAAGGTAAACTCACTGTGCTCTTCAAAGGGCTTGTTCTAGTGACTGAGCACAAAGCCCCTCATATCAACTTCTACTTTCCTTCCAAAAAGAGAATGTCACGGTGCGCCAAAAGGAGAGAGTTCCCCTGGGGACGAGATCTGCAGGCCTGGCACGCCTCTCCCTCCATGCCAATGGTAAGTGTTGAGGGAGAAACCGCCTGGGAGAGAGCATCCAAGGCAAAGCGCTGGCTTGCACGCCTGCTTTGGAGACAGATGTGAGTTGCCGCGTGGGTGCTGCAGGGGGGAAGGAGGGTGTCAAGTCTGCCTCTGTGCCAGGAGGGGAAGGCGGAAGTGCGAGGATACACAGACAGGGTGGGGTGGCGTGGGGTGGGGTGGGGGCATGAGGATGGGCCCAAGCTGCAGCAGCATAGGATGGGGACAGGGATGCGCACAGCGCGATCAAGGAGTCCCAGGACTTGCGTGGATGGTGAAGAAAGACCGAAAGGTGGGCCTTGTAAGTCAAGCCCCAAACCAATCACCATGCCCCTTCAAAGTACCACTACTCCAAGTAGGAGGCTAAGGAGGGAAGAGGATGCACACCCTGTTAACCTCTTTTGTTTAATGCCCTCTGCCACAAGGTACTGGGAGGATACCAGGATCCAAGTATGTGTGGGGACTAGTAGCCTTGTGTGGGAAGCAAGAGGCACCCCGCTTGATGATTTAATATCCACCCTACAAATTAGACTTTGGACCTCAGGTGCAACACGTTAACCTCGTGGCGCCTCAGTTTCCTCGTCTGTCCTAAGGGAGGAACACGTTCTCTGCCCGGGGCTGCGGCGTGAGCGAGCTCGGGGAAGCCGGCAGCACGCTCCTCCAGCAACAAGAAGGCACGCTGGTGCGATCCTCCGGCCCCGAGAGAGGGCTGCGGGGAGACTCGCGCTCTAAAATTAGCCCAGCTCCAGGCCCCGCGCCGGGAGCGCCCTCCCGCTCGCCGCGCCGCCCCCGCAGCCCCCTCCCGCCCGCCCCCGCTCCCCCGTGCGGCGCTCAGAGATCCCGAGTCATCCCCGACGCCGAGGCTTCTCTCCCCCTCGCCCCTTTCGCTCGCGGTTCGGGAGGAGGAGACAGCGAGGGAGAGCAAGAGGGGGAGACGAGAGAGAAAGAGAGAGAGAGAGAGTGGGGCTTGGCCGCGCGTCGGCGCCGGCTGCGATGGGGAGCCCCGAGCAGCTCGTCGGCGGCGTGCAGTAGCGGCGGCGGCGGCTCAGAGCAGACGCGGGAGCACGCTCTCCTCCCGGAAGGCTGCGCTGGGATCTGGATGCGGACTGGGATCTCGCGCCCCCGGCCCTCTCCTCCCGCGGCCGTTCTCCTCCTCCCGCCTCCGCCTGCCGATCTGCCGCGGCGGCGGCGGCGGCGTCCCGAGCGCCTCTCTCCGCGATCCCAGTCCCGGGGAGCGCGCGCAGGCACTGCGGCGGAGGCGACCGTGTGGCCCGGCTCGCCCTAGGCGAGAGCACCTAGAGAGGAAGACCACGGGAGAAGCGCCAGGTGGAGCCGTGGATCGCCAGCTGAGGCAAGGGTGCGTGGGGGCTTGTTAGCGCGATTATTTAGCTGCCTGGTGCGCCGGCCGAAGCGCGCCTGCCCAAGCACAGCCCCAGCTCCAGGTGTAAATGGGCTGCGAGGTGGGTTCCGGGAAGCATGAGCCGGCACAGCGCGTGGGGGAAACTTTTCACCTTGTTAAGTTCCAGCTTCGGTACCGCCCGGAGCTGGGGGCCGCCGCCGCTACCAGCAGAAAGGGCGGGAGGCTCGGCCCTGCGGCAGGAGCCCAGAGGTTGACACGGAGAGTTGGCTAAGTTTGGAGCTGAGGATTTGGGGCGGGGGTGCAAGAGAGCTTGGAGGTGGAAGCACCCATCCCTGCAGGACGCCTCCCGGAACTCGGGCCACCCGCCCGCGGCAGGTGGATGAGAAGGTCTAGGCAAGGAGCCTGCTTGGGAGTCGGTGCTTGCCGGGCGCAGTGGGTATGTTCAGATACCAGTGGAAGCACTTGGGCGACGCGAAGGCGCAAGTTGGGTTGTCTCCGGGCACCGAGAGGAGTAGGGAGCCCCGTCTCCCCTTTAGGAAGGGGAGAAGGTTCCCACGCGGTCTGTGGTCCTTTCCCCGTGCCCGACTCCGTCCTCCAGCGGCCGTGGGCAGGGTGTGATGCATTGAGTTTGGCAGCGGCTCTCAGACTGGGGCGACAGCCGTTAGAGAGTGGTCAGGAGGAGAGGCTGTTCCTGCTGTCTTGACAGAGGGAAACGCAATGCTTTGGGAAAGGGCTTGTTTTTTGGCGGGCGTGCGGGATGGCTGCGGCTCTTTGAAAAGAAAGCAGCGTGGTCTGACCGTCCCGGAGGGTGCGAAGCAGCCTTCTCCATGTCGGGGTGGAAAGGCGAGGGCGCACTGGCTCCGCGCTCAGCGATCCTTCCCTGGGAGGCACTGGGTGCACCCCTAGCTGGGACCAGTGTGTGTGCAAGTCTAGGGTGTTGGAACCGGGTGAGGGGAGAGGTTGGGAGGGTCTCAGGAGCGCAGCGGAGGAGGCAGCTAAGGGGGGGTTGGACCGGCTTGGCTGTGCTCGGCGCGACTGGAGCGTGAGGATTCCGCCAGTGGGGGTCGCTGAGCTAAAGTGCATCTGGCCCCAGAGCCTGCGGGAAGTGGCGAGCCCGGGTATTTTTAGCAGTGCTGTGGTCTGAATTCTCCCCTCCGCTCTCTCGGACTTGTGTCGCGTGTGCTTTCCGAAATGGTTAAACATTAGCCACGATTAAGCTTCGCCGAAAGCAACTTTTATTCACTTTTTGCAGCACGCTCGTGGGCGGGGGTGAGCTGGAGGCAAGGAAGCGGGGGTGGCGGGAGTTTGGCTGCAAGCTAAGGGGCCACTTGTATAGCCTGCAAGGAGAGGCGGGGTGGGGGTGTTCCTCGGGTGTGTGCGCTAGCGGTGGCATCCTGAGGCTGCAGCTCGGCACAGGCTTGATGGGGGCAAGCCAGGCGGAGCAGGGGATGGGCAGCTTGTGTGTGCGCAGGGGAATCGGCTGCGAGGAACCGGCACCGACCCCGGGGCTGGGGGAGGGTACGGACAGGAGAGGTTCCCCTGAGTGGGCGGCGGGTGGCCCTGGCCCGCGGGTGTCTGGCCAGCTGCGCGCGCCGACTAGACTCGGCTTCGCATTGGGCCAACCTGCAGCAGCCACTGCCGGAGGGAGGGAGAGACCGGGACGGTACTAATGATTCCAGAGAGTCTTTTCTCCTCCTCTCCCCTCCTCCCACTCCTCCCCGCCCCCAGACTCCGGCGCGTTTGTTTCCAAGTTGGATCCCACTTCCATTTACAAGTGTCAGACAAACCGCGCGAACCTCCCCCACTCGCCCGGGCCTCAGCCAGACGACCGAGGGCGCGCGGGAAGGGGGGAGGGGCGAGCTGTCTGGGTAGCGCCTAGTGCGATGCGACGCTCCCACGGGGGGCGACACTGGCTTGGGCTTCTCCGTGTGAGGCCCTGATGTTTAAAAGACACCCATGAGCGAACAAAACCCAAACGTCTCCTGGCCACTTGTCTTCCACCGCTTTTTCTCCTCGCCTCGGACATATTAATTTTCCGGGCCCGACGTTTGTCTTTTCAAAGGCGAGTCGGGGTGGTGGGAGGAAGGGGGCGGGGGGAGCGGGCCGACCAGTTCATCACGGTGGATTTGTGCTCCTGGCTTTGTTGCTAGGATTAGATTCTCTGGTTGCATCGGGGCCGAGTTAAAATAAATGCAAAAAAGACTGCAGAGGACTTTGCCCTGATCAAGGAGGCAGAGTCAGGTGGTGGAAGAGGGAAGCCCGCCATCTAGGAATTGAGGACCAAGACGCACGCCCGCCCGCATCCCGGTATCGATCAGAGAGCCCAGCGTTCGCCTCCTCAGGCTTGCGCAGAACAACTTTTCACGTTTATCGAACCGGTGCTAGCATGATCTTCTAGTGTGATTGGGGTGGTTTGAATAAAAGGAAGAGACAGGAGGGTGAAGAGAATGAAATTCTGCAGAATTCTAGAAATTGCACAGACGGAGCCGATTGCTTCTGCTTTTAAGTTCTGATTCCTAAATTGGAGCAGTTGAACAGTGAGAATAAAGAACAGCCGAGAAAAGGAGGGCGCCAAGAGACAAAGACCAAAAAAATGCATAATAACTTAAAGCGCTTTGATGTGCTTTCTATCTAATAGAGTTGGAATGGGGGAAGGGTTTTTTAAAAACATTTTTACAACAAGTAAAGTTGTCTTTTAAAATTAAACCGAATGCTGGCATTCAGTCATCATTCTCTGTTGTTGCCTGCTTGGAACTTAGAGTATGCAATATGCTGAGGCCAGTTTCTCTGGATGTGAAGTTCCCAGAACTGTCCAGTTATGATGTCTTCATAGCTGAACCACACCAAGAACTCCACGTGAAAGGCAGCTGGCTCAGATCAGAAATCGGTCAGCTGCTCCGTAGGTTCGTTTCTTGTCTGCAGGATTTTCATGACCAGTATCAGTTCACCAGTGACTGGCTATGAAGCTTTCTTTCTTTGTTTCAAATGTTATTCTGATCCTTGGCAGTCATTTTGGATATAGTATTAATAGTCAGAACCTAGTTTGTCTCTTCCATAGCAATTAAAGTTGTGCTGAGCTACCCAGAAATGAAATGAGTAGCAATAAACAGAGTGGATGCCCACTGACCTGTATAGTGTATGATTATTTTGCTAGCCCACAGCCTTATGTAAAACAGGGACTTTTCATGCAGCCCACATAACATTTTTGATGTGTCAGGTTGTGTTATCCCTGCTTGCTTCATACGCTGCAGAATGACCTACTCTAATTTAGCTGATGAATTACGTCAAATAGAAAGAAGTAGGCAATTACAGGTAAGGAGAGGGTGTTTAGTCATTACCAGCTGGTCTGAGGAGCATTCGCCATGGGTGGCTGTTGTGTGGTTATGCTACCTTAATAACTCACAACACAAAATGACCATATGACTTCATCTTTCTGGGTGTGGATCTGGGTATGACATGTCTGTGTATCTACATGTGTCCAGTTGACAGCAGTGTTGGCTTTTCCCTCCTGAGCAGGAAGGAAAATGGTAACAGTGGCCATGTTTGTTCCACTGTGGGTCATTCCCAGGTCTTTTGTTTCTGCAGAGCACAGAATAGGATCACCTGATGGGATCAGATGGGCCAGTCCATTTTGATTGATTTCCTTTGATTGCTTAGGAAGGACTATTGATGAATTGTTGTCTGCTGATTGTGACAAACAGCAGAGTTGGAATGAAAATTTTAAAAGAAAGAAATCTGACGACAGACATGGAAGACTTGTGTCCTGGCTCATTCCTTCCTGAAGATAGGCAAGCCTCCTATTCCCACAGATTTACATAGCCTGAAAGGTATTAAAGAAACATAGCTCCTGTATAGCTTACTCACCTTATCGGTAAGGTGTTCTGCAATGCAATTTTTTGTTTTAATTTTATTTGAGATGTAGAATTACAGGCTGAGAGGGAGAGACAGAAAGGTCTTCCTTCCATTGATCTGAAGCCAGGAGCCAGGTGCTTCTTCCCAGTCTCCCATGTGGGTGCAGGGACCCAAGGGCTTGGACCATCATCTGCTGCTTTCCCAGGCCACAGCAGAGAGCTGGATTGGAAGAAGAGCAGCCGGGACTAGAACTGGTGCCCATATGGGATGCCTGTGCCACAGTTGGAAGATTAACCTGCACCACGGCGCAGGCCCTTCTGCAATGTTAATTTTGATCTCTAATTGCTGAGTATGTAATTAGCAGAATTTTCCTACACAATTGTGAGGATTGCATCTGTATTTTATAGCCTGGCTTTTGAGGATTACCAGAGGGTGATACCTTCCTCTGGGAAAACTCTGGAAGTAACTATCTTGTCTGTGTGTTGGTCAATTTGATTCTATAGGCTTGTCAAATTTATTTGTTCTTCTGTTACTTGCAGAGTAGCTACACATTCAGTATGATTTTCCCCTTGTATTTGTTTTAATTATTTATTTGTTTATTTTGACAGTTAGAGACAGAAAGGTCTTCCTTCCATTGGTTCACCCTCCAAATGGCCAGGAGCCAGGTGCTTCTTCCTGGTCTCCCATGTGGATGCAGGACCCAAGGACTTGGGCCATCCTCCGTTGCCTTCCTGGGCCACAGCAGAGAGCTGGACTGGAAGAGGAGCAACTGGGACAGAATCCGGCGCCCCAACTGGGACTAAAACCTGAGTGCTGGGGCCGCAGGCAGAGGATTACCCTAGTGAGCCCCAGTGTAGGCCCTACCCTTGTATTTTTAACATTGTTTTGCCTTCCACAAATTTCTTTCCAAGAATAATTTTAGGATAGCTTATCTTTTATGAATTTCAGCTCAATGCCACGCATCAGATTTATTGAACATTTTTGACACATGGCTAGTGGCTTTGAGCCAGTTTCTGGCCAACCAAAATAAGCTATCAGTTATATCTAACAGTGACAGATTACCCATTTTGGTAGTTCAAATTGGAGTAGCATTTCCAGGTTAATCTTTACCTCAACCTATTTTATGATTGAGGTTTTTGTTTTTTCCCTGTTAAGTGGGAGGGATGAACATTTGAGAATGGGGGATAGATCATTGGCCTAGCCTGTTAAAAGGCTGGTTAGGACTCACACATTCCACATTCCTGGGTT